TTGCTTCACCTGGGCCACGCCATGGGTGACGGCTCGTGTGTCAGATCTCAGAGCCAGGGCCCCTTTGTTTGGCTCTGTCCTTCCTGGCACCTGGGTCGCCCAGTGGTTTCCAGAGAGGACTTAGAGCAGAGCTCTGCACGCTTTTTCTTGAAAGGGCCAGACAGTAAATATTTTAGGCTTTGCAGGCCATGTGATCTCTTGTTGCATCGGCTCGACTCTGCCGTGAGGGTACGGAGCAGCCGCAAGCAAGTCATTAATGCATGAGTGTGGCTGTGTCCCAGTAAAACTTTATTGACAGCAACAGGGACTGGTCTGAATTTGGCCCCATGGTTTAGAGATAAGTGTGGCTTTTCTTAATCTCTGAACCAGTACCCCAGGGGGTTGAGTAGAGATAAGAAATACAGTTGACCCTTGAACAACACCCACCCCGCCCATACACCACTCAGTTGAAAATCTGTGTGTAACTTTTGACTGCCCCCAAACTTAACTAATAGCCTCTGTTGACCAGAAGCCTCACCGAAAACATAAACAGTCAATTAACACATATTTTGTACGTTAGCTGTATTATATGTGGTATTCTTAGGATAAAGTAAGCTAGGGAAAGGAGTATCATAAGGAAGAGAAAATACATTTACAGCATCATACTTTTAAGAAATCTGTGTATAAGTAGATCCAGGCATTTCAGAGTCGTTTAAGGGTCAACTCTAATAATTTGTATGTACAAATAATCTCTACCTATAACAGGATTTTTGTATAAACTTTGATCGTAAGTAGTTTTAGAACCGGTAGTGTGGTTTTCTCCTAGAAATAGTGCTGCACTGCACCCAATAGCTTGGATTTATCACAGAACCAAGTTGTCACATTGGTAACTTGTAGCGGGAAGTACTATAGACCAGTAATACCACTTCACGATGTGGGTTAAATAGGATTTTTTTTAACTTAGGAAAATTCTGAGGTATTTAAAAGTCAAGAAAGTAATAAATTGAATTACTACATACAAATCATACCTGTATATAACTGGAGTATGTATCTCTAAAAAAAAAAAATGGACCTTTTTTCCCCATAATTACAAGTGCCATTATCATAACTTATAAAATTTATAGCAATTCCATGCGGCTTCTGCTACCCAACCCACAATCATACTTTTGTGATTGTCTCAAAAATGCCTTTTTTTGAGTTGCTTTGTTCAACTCAGGGTCCAAACAAAATTCAGGGTTGTGAAGTCTTTTAAGTTTCTTAATTTAGAGCAGTCTAAGACTCCTTCCTTCTAATGCTCTTGTGTTGGAGTCAGGCGTCCTACAGAATGTTCCACATTCTAGATTTGCTTTTTTATGTGGTTGTGTAGATCTTGGTTCCTGACAGTATTTATTGATTACTTATTTACACTCTTCTACTGTGGATAGCAGTTATAAAATAATACCAGTATTCCTGTAAACAGAATACTGAATGCAATTTAGGATTTCCTAACAGCTCCGTTTCTCTATATTCCACTAAAGACGTGTGGTAGGAATATCATGCCCTGAGGGCTCTTGAAGTAAGTTCTTTTTCCTCTGTGGTTAGATCCGCCAATGTAATTACAATAAGATATATCTGTTTACTGTCTCTACAAGGATTGCTTTGCTTCTTTTTGACTTAATTATCTTTTTTGAATGTATCAGACGTTTATGTTTTCAATGTTAGAACTTTGTAACAAGTGTAAAAGTCTCGTTCTGTCTTTGTCCCCTTCAGATTCTCTCCCACCACCATTGATAGCTTTTTTTTTTTTTAATTAGTATTCGGTTTATCCTTTGGTATTTCTTTTTGCAAGTATCAGCAAATATGTATAAATTTTTCTATTCTTTCTCATGAAAGGTAACATTCTCTAGATAGTGTTCTTTCTGAACCTCCCTTTGTCACTGAGAAATATGCATGGAGATCACTCACTGTTAATAGTTCATACAGTTCTTTCTCATCCCTTGAGACTGCTGCGGAATATTCACTGGGTCCGAGTATTGTGATTGGTGTGGCCCCTCGCTGATGGCTACCGGATTCTTTCCAGTCTTTTGCCTTAAAGAATAATGCCAAGAGGCAAAACAAGGCACGAGTCATTTCCTGGTTTGCCAGTGTGTCCTGGGGAATACGTTCTAGAATCTCAATTTCTAGGTAAAGGATAAATGGATATGTGATTTTTCTAGATACTGCCAAATGCTTCACAGAGATTGTATACCTGAGAGTCCCACCCTACCAGTTACATAGGAGAGTCGGAAAGGCTTTTTAAAGCTAGTCGGAAGCTCATCAGTTAGTTATTGCACACAGTTTATGGGGAACATGAATTTTTCCCCATATAGAAAAGGATACGGAATTGAGAGAAATACTTCCCTCTTACTGAGGCTGGGTTCGAAAACATCTGTTGCTCCCAGAAGGGCTCTGAGGGAGCCCCGGAAACATGGCCCGTCCGTGTGAGCAGATGTTTGGGTCCAAAAGCCCTTGCGTGAGATGAGATACTTCTGCTTTTTATCACAACTTATGAATCTGTTTGGAGACATCCTCTTTGGAAGTGGCTAAGTCCCCCTATGCTCAGAGAGGAAGGCTGTGGGAATTTTGAAGGCTCTGGGGCAGGGGCCTAGGGTAATAATTTAGAGACTATGAAAGCACATGAACAGGGGAGCCCTGCATGCTGAGGCTTTAGAACAAAAGGGAGCCGTTGGTTCCTGCTACCTAGAGTGAGAAACCACTTTGGTCTCTATAACCAAGAGTAGGTCAGGGAGCCTCCTTTTTCTCTGTCCCCCTTAGAAAATCTAGCTAATCCCCAGAAGCCTTTTTGTTCCTTTGTTTCTTTAAGCTTTGAGTAAGTGAAGAGAATCATTATGTTATTGAATAAAGCGTTGTGAAGTCACGCTCGTTGCTCACAGACAGCTTCTCGACCTCCCAGCATCTGAGATTCTTAATCCAAGTGGCACAGGTGTATCCTCAGAACAGTGCCTAGCACATCGTTGGTGCTCAGGAAGCGTTTGTCCGCTGGATGAAAGTGGCCCCCGTCCTGGTCTGGGGCTGGGCCGGGCCCGATTCCACAGGTCCCGGATCAGACTGCCTCTCAGCTCACAGCTCAGTTCTCTCGGCCCAACACCTTGTGGGCAAGTCACTGCTCACCCTGTGCTTCCGTGGCCTGACCTGGAAAGCTGACACAGGGTTGTACCTGCACCGAGAGGAGGGGGTCAGAGAAGGGTCTGGGTGGCCTGACGGGGCAACTGTATCTGTGCATTGGAGAGTCTGGGGGTCCTCTGAGGCGGTTTCTGGTCATCGAGACATTTGACTCCAGGAGGGGGGTATGGGTAGGGGGAGAACTGGCATCTGAGAGAGAACATGGGGGTCGTGGCATGCATGCACTCATTCATTCGGCAGTACTCGTGGTGAAGTTCTGTTGTCATGTGCCTCCTTGTCAGGGAGCTCTGTATCTACAGGTTGCAGGAGAGAGAGGGAGCCTCACTGTTGCTTGGTGGTGTAAGAACACAGGTTCTGGACCTAGACCCGGGTTGGAGCCCCACGTCTGCTGTGGTCTACCTCTGGGATCTTTTGCATAAGTGACCTCATTTCTCAACTCTCATGCGCTCATCTGTGCAACGGGGATGAGGAGAGGATTGCTCCTGGGAAGTCGTGGGTGAGGACCCTACTGCCAGTGAGGACCCAGTGCGTTAACACCAAAGCAGCCTGGAAGCATTTAAGGAAGGGATGCAGAGGTAGTGGTATCAGGTGCCTTTGGGTTCCTGAAGGCCGGGGGTTCAAATGAAGCTTCGGAGTAAGTTTTGTTTTTCTTCCTCGGGATAGTGTTTGCCACGGCTGCACGGGTCCCCCTGGCCGCGCTTGACGGTGCGATGTAAGCCCCTTGGCAGATCCCTGGATGATGGTGTTTCCCAGCAGCTACTGTCTTCACACCCGTGGGTGTAGTGGACCCGCAGGACGTCACGAAAGGGTGGAGGTGGCTTGATTGATTCACCTGCTCACTCTGTTGACAAACTAGATTTATAGAGCCAAGCATTGTAGTTAGCGCTAAAGAGTAGAGGTAACAAGACAAGTAATATGCTCCATGATCTCGTGGAATTTACAGTCTAAGAGGGAAGCTGTTAGGCAGTTTTGGATCCACCAGCAAGATTTGGGTGGGGAGTGGGAGAGTCTGCTGCGTGCTGTTTAATCACGCCTTGGGCCAGATGGCTAGTCGTCTCATCCCACCGGGGCACTGTGCTCTCACTGTGTCCATGTAGGAAGACTTATTTTTCCCATGAAGTTTGGGATTTTAAAGGTCTGTTTTGTTTTTTTTAGCTTTTAGAAACTGTTAGACCGTGAAGTGATTCATTTGCCCAGTGGAATCCCTCTGCATCTTAAAGATCTATTTATGGATGGGAAATGGAAGTTCTCCCTAAAGAGTATGTTCAGTGGCCAGTAGGATTTAGAGCCTGGTGGAATTGGATAAACTGATTCTAAAATTCGTATGGAAGAACAATAGCCCAGGACTAGCCAATTTAAGGAAGAACATGGTGTGGGGACTCGTGGATGGATATTCAGACTGAGTGTAAAGAGATGCTAAGGAAAGCATACGAGACAGATCGATGGGAGTTCCCGGAAAGTCCCATGGATGTGTGGAAGCTTCACATGTAATAGCTAGGGATTGCAGAGGGGTAGAGAAGGAATGTACTCGTCAGCCAACAGTGTTGGGGCAGTTGGCTTTCCATATGGAAAAAGTCAAGTGAAATTCTTTATATCCTCATAATAAATTCCAACTGGATTAAAGACCTAAATGTGGGCGTCTGGGTGGCTCAGTCGGTGAAGCGTCTGCCTTCAGCTCAGGTCATGATCCCAGGATGAGTCCCGCGTCAGGCTCCGGGAGCCTGCTTCTCCCTCTGCCTCTGTCTCTCGTGAATAAATAAATAAAATTTAAAAGAAAAAATAAACGCAAGAAAACAGTCTCAGAAATGTTATAAAAATACTTTAGGATGAGGAAGGTTGTTTTAATAACCTTGACATAAAATGGGAAGTCCTAAAACAGTTATTTCTGATTACATCAAGTTGTAAATCTTCAGTGTGATAAAATAATAGCCAACATTTAGTTAACCTCTAAAAAACATCCTTTGAGATGCTTGTTTTGCCAGCTGTGTGCTAGGCACTGTTCTGAGAGTGTAGCCATGAGCAGACCTGAGCTCTGCCCTCCTGGAGCTTGGTGTAACTGCAGAGGACTGGCCAAGGTCATAAAGAACTGCGGATTTATAAGAAACAGGCAACCTAGTGGTAGGCAAAAGATAGAAATGAGAAGTTCACAGTTAAAGGAACCCTCATGGCGAATGAATAGATTAAAAAACAGAACAAACAAACAAACCAACCTGTGTCACAGTCTAGGAAATGCAAACTAAAATAATCAGATTGGTAACAATGAAAAGTTTGACCTTTTCAGGTATTGGCAAGAATGATGGGAGGTGGGCATCGTCCGGGTGCCGGTGGGAGAACGTGCGCCCCACTGCTCAGGAGTGTCGTTGGGGCGAGCCCCAGTTCTCAGGTTGGGGGCCTTCTGGGCACTACTGAGTCTGACTCCTCACAGTAGGTGCCGTGCGTGTCCCTGGACCCAGGTTCATCTGCCCCATGTGCCCCAGAGACAGTGACTGAGACGTGAGGATGCAGCAGGGAAAGTGTTTATTCAAGAGGCAGCCTCGGGAGAGGGGAAGGAAGGAGGTGGGAAGGAAGGGAGTGAGGAAATTGAAAAGCACACGAGAAGGGTCCCGGTTCAAGTCGCTGCTGCGTGTGGTCGAACCGCTAACCCTCTGGTTCTGGGTTTCAAGCCCACTGTCCTTTGGTCATTCCTCATTCTTGAGGGAATTGGGACGATGACCCACCTACTTACTTCCTGCTGAAGTGGGGCGGAGATGGGGGTTAGAGGAATGGAAACCTGCTCTTGTTTAGAAATACTCCTCAGGTCCAGGTTGAAACCCAACGTTCTGCATTAGCACGATTTTTGTACCTTGGTTATTCGTTCTTACAGTGTATGTGACTTCAGTTTATCTAGGACATTAGGGGAGGCTTCTTGTAACCGGGTAGCTGGTTGTATTCATCAGCTGATTTCTTCAGACAAGCCCTCCTAAACAGCAGTTTCAGGTCGGTCAGAGGCTCGCTGCTGCAAGCGGGGTTATTTTGGAGGTTGTCCTTGCTGGACAGGGTGGAGGGACCCTGTGGATCCTGCAGTTCGAGTGCAGTGGATCCCCGGCATCCTTCCCCGTAGCTTCACTGAAGAAGGGGTGGTCAGCAGTACCTCGTGTGGTCCTACCGAGGCTGGTGTTGGACCCCTGGGTGCCTGCACCACCCGCCCAGGACTCAGGTGGCATAAGAGCACAGCTGTGGGGCACATCAGCCTGCTGGAAGCAAAGATGGATCGAACATACCGGATAGTGTCCAGCTCCCCAACGTGAGCCCTGTCAGGAATTCCTAAGTCATGACAGGTGTAGAAAGAATCTTCCAAATAACATAGCACAGGGGCTTAAAACTCCTTCTGAGGGCCACTCTTCACGGAAGCCGAGCACCCAGCAAGGCTTTAGTCCGGTTGAACAGGCAAACAGACCCTCAAAGACTTTTAATTCAGAACTAGAATCTTAACACCCACAAAGGTGTGTTACTGGAACAGTTTTTCTAAAGTCACTCTCATTTTCAATGATAGCCAAATGAAGACTCATTTGTTTGTAACATAAGCCCAGTTTTAACAGAGTTGGCCTAATTGTTCACATAAGCATGGCAAGAATAGTGATTGGCCTTTTTTGTTGTTGTTAAATTTGCTTTGCTGGAACTTACAAGGAATTTCAGATTGAACTTTTAACAGCCTCTTGAGGCTAAGAAGGCAAGCTAAATACTTGCCATCAGACTTTGCCTGCAATACCTGTAGATTTGGGTGAATTCCTCTCTTTGAGGTCCCCAGAATTTCTTGAGGTTCCTGCACCTGCTGGGAGGTGACCTTCTTTACTCCCATGGTAAGGCTGCTGGGAACCCTGTAAGCAAGATACCAGACCTATTTTTCCAAGGGTTTTCATTGGCTCCATAAAGTCACCCTTACTTCCTTAAAACTGTCTGGTCATATCTGACCAAATATGACATTCCTCTCAAAGCCTTGGTAATGTAACCGTTGTTTGCAATTGCGTTCTGTCATAAGGAGACCAGATTCTTACTGAACTTATGCAAATAAATACATTGCCATGAAAATAAGAATAGTCACGGAGAGTTTCTGAATTCTGGAGGGATCAGGTTGGGAGAAAAAGATAAGCGTTCCATATTTGTTTCCAAAGGGATATTTTACTTCTGTAAATCATAGCCTTAAATCTGAAAGAGCAAACAGAGAACCAGCGAGGTGTTAAGCGAGAATCTGTTGGAATGCAGTTTTCCCATTAGTTGAAAATCTTCATCAGGAATGAAGGACTCCTAGCTATAGGAACGCTGCCCACAGGCCTCAGCTCTCAGGTCCCGTCCGGGATTGCCTTGACTGAAGACAGCTGCCTCACCAAGGGCGTGCCCCCGACATGGTCACAAACCCTGACTTTTGCCCCAGTGTAGGTGCCCTGAAGCGTAATCCAACTTTTGGAACTCCTCAGAGACTGAGCTGAGGTATCTGTTGATCCTGAGTCACTGTGCAGCTTCTGTCTGATCTCGCGCTCTTCCCTTCCCCAGGCGTCGATCACGCCCTCATAGACTATTTTCATACTGAGTCTTCATAGTCTTAGTCCTGACCATGCACAAAACCCCTTTCCAAAGAGACCCTCTCACAAACCTTCTACAGATTTACAGAATGGTTTCCCTTATTTCCAGTAAACCAACAACCTTAAATTAGCTTTAATTCCAAGGATTTTCCAAGGTCACATGAACTTAAAAAACATTCGGGTTAGTTTCTATCTTTCTGAATTTTATTTTTTAGATTTTATTTATTTGCAAAACAGCGTGAGAGAGCGAGATCATGAGCAGGGGGGAGGGGTAGAGGGAGAAGCAGGCTCCCCGCTGAGCAGGGAGCCTGACCTGGAGCTTGATCTCAGGACCCTGGGATCATGACCTGAGCCGAAGGCAGACGCTTAACTGACTGAGCCACCCAGGTGCCCTATCTTTCTGAGTTTTAGAATGCCCAATTTTTACAAGTGCTTGCCTTTAAACAAACTAGAGCTCTTTTATAAATTACCTTTAGCAGTACCATCCAGAGTTAGAGGGTCACCTAGGTGGTTCATTTGGTTAAGCATCTGCCTTTGGCTCAGGTCATGATCTCTAGGTCCTGGGATCCAGCCCCATGTGGGGTTCCGCACTCAGTGGGGGAGTCTGCTGCTCCCTCTCCCTCTGCCAGCGCCCCCCAACTCATGCACACTCATGCATGCTCGCACGCTCACTCTGTCTCAAATAGATAAATAAAATCTTTAAAAAGGCAGAGGTGGAGAAAGTTGTTCGCATTTACAACACACATAGACACAGAAAGACATGAACAAGATGCAAACAAAATCTTAAAGGTCCAACTTCCAAATATCTCTCCCTTTTACAAAACCTAATTGCAAGATGGTATTACATAATTTATGGATTTGTTAGTTGGTCATTTTTCTCCAGAGTCTAATGAATATTGTGGCCAAGCAGTGTTGCCAAAAGTGTTTGCCCGGTTTTGGAGAATAGCCCAGAAGGCTGCATGTGGGGGAGTCAAAGTGTCATTTCCCATTTTCCAAGTAGAACATGGCTGGTTTTATTCAAAGATATCAAAAGCTACAGCAACAAACAAACCAAACGAAGCCTGGAGTAACTCTGTGAGCATTGGTTCCTCCCCAGAAGTCGGGGGTGGGGGGGGCTTCATGGACTGAACCAAATAGCTTCCTAGTTTCTAGCTCCTCCCTAAAAGTCAGAGCTCCACTGACTGAACCAAACTGCTCCCTCGCCAGTCTTTTCTTAAGAGGCTAAGAGGCAGCTGAAGAGGAGGAAGAAATCTAAGAGCCAGACCAAATGGGAAGAAGAAATGAGCTCTCATGCCATCAGATAGGATGTACTCACCAGGAGACGCCTGCCCAAATCAAACCCCAAAACTGTTTCCTTAAATTAAGCCCCGAATGTTGGCTGCACCCAGGCAGAATGGGGCCCCGGGGACGGACTCTAGGACAGAGAGCCCAGGCAGCTGCTTGGACTCATCACCAGATGTGCGGCTGGCTGGGGGCCACCGCCGACCAGCCCTCAGCCAAGAGCGCCTGGCTGGCTGGCTCGCCGGATCTGAAGCCGAACCAGAGCTTGTCTGCCCAATGCACAGCAAAGACCGAGACATCAAGTATCATCAAGTGTGCCGCAAATAAAGAGTTTGCTGGGGGCAAGCCTCAGATCTACCTCCTGGAAGGAGGAAACTCAGAGAAATTTAAGGGCAAATGAAACAAGCCTGGGTAAAGAGTTGCAGCTGTGTTTATGAGTCCCATTAACCCTTTGGCTGCCAGTGTCATACATGCTCTGTGCTGTTTGTAGGGCGCTAGGAAGTCTTCCGCCCTTCTCAGGGCTCTGACAGGTGCACGGGGGAGTTTTGCAGAGGCCGCGTGACGTGTCGTCACCACAGACTGAACGCAGAAGCAGTTGTCTTCCATTAAGCCAGACATGAAAAAGATTTGCAAAAATGTAAAACAGTGCTACTCTTCTAAGTTTTTTCTGAAAATACAGTTGTTTTTGATAAAAACATTAACATGTGATAGGTTTAATTGTTATGAAGAATAAGCATTTTAGCTCTAAGATTTGCGAGTTGTACTGTAATATGTCAGGGGGTTTATCTGTTCTCGTTGCTCTTGGGAGGGGTCCTGTCTGCCTCTTGGACATGAATGCTTGTTTCCCTCCCCAGGTTAGGGAAGTTCTCAGCTACTTTTTGCTCAGATATATCTTCTAGACCTCTCTGCCCACCCCCTCAGGGATCCCAATAATTCTGACATTGGAACGTTTCATGGCATCATTAATCTCTCTCAGTCTGATCTCTTGGGTTTTAAGCTGTTTTTCCCATGCCACCTCGGTTTCCTGCTTTTCAATCATCTTATCTTCTAGATCACTAATTCGTTCTTCCGCCTTGTTTACCCTGGCAGTCGGAGTATCTAGTTTAGACTGCATTTCATTCATACCATTTTTAAGTTCGGCCTGATCTCTTTTCTGCCCTTAGAGATTCTGTATTGTCGCTAATATTTTTCTCAAGCCTAGATATCAACTTCGTAATTGCTACTCTGAAGTCTATTTCTGACATCTTGCTTATATCCATATCCAGTTAGGTCTGTGGCAGAGGCCATAGTCTCTGATTCTTTTCTTTGTTGGGGGGTTCCTCCTCTCAGTCATTCCGTTGGGGGGTGGTTGAAGGAATGTACAGAGTCCAAAGTATTAACCATGACCCAAGCAAGATGCACCCGTTTTATAGGGAGAAGATCTTTGCAAATGACATTATAGATAAAGGGCTGGTATCCAAGATCTATAAAGAACTTCTCAAACTCAACACCCAAAAAACAAATAATCAAGTCAAAAACTGGGCAGAAGACATGAACAGACTCTTCTCCAAAGAAGACATAGAAATGGCTAACAGACACATGAACGAATGTTCATCATCATTAGCCATCAGGGAAATTCAAATCAAAACCACATTGAGATAGCACCTTTCACCAGTTAGAATGGCAAAAATTAACAAGGCAGAAAACAACAAATATTGGCGAGGATGTGGAGAAAGGGGAACTCTCTCACACTGTTGGTGGGAATGCAGGTTGGTTACAGCCACTATTGAAAACAGTATGGAGGTTTCTTGGTAAGTTAAAAATAGAGCTACCCTATGACCCAGCAATTGCACTGATGGGTATCTACCCCAAAGATACAGATGTAGTGAAAAGAAGAGGCACATGCACCCCAATGTTCATAGCAGCCATGTCCACAATAGCCAAACTGTGGAAGGAGCTGAGATGCCCTTCAACAGATGAATGGATAAAGAAGATGTGGTCCATGTATACAACGGAATATTACTCGGCCATCAGAAAGGATGAATACCCAACTTTTGCATCAACATGGGTGGAGCTGGAGGGGGATTATGCTGAGTGAAATAAGTCAAGTAGAGAAAGACAATTATCATATGGTTTCACTCATATGTGGAACATAAGGAATAGTAGCATGGAGGACATTAGGGGAAGGAAGGGAAAACTGAAGGGGGGGAAATCAGAAGGGGAGACGAACCATGAGAGACTATGGACTCTGGGAAACAAACTGAGGGTTCTAGAGGGGAGGGGGTGGGGGCATGGGTTAGCCCGGTGATGGGTATTAAAGAGGGCATGTACTGCATGGAGCATTGGGTGTTATATGCAAACAATGAATCATGGAACACTACATCAAAAACTAATGATGTACTGTATGGTGACTACCATAACATAATAAAAAAATTTTTTTTAATTTCTTAGCCTAAATTTCTTATATGGTGAATATTAACAGATAAGACTCATGTAAACAAACCTTCTTTGGAGCCTGCAATGTTGGAGCCTGTCATGTTTAGTAGTGTCAAGGGGTCCCAAGACCAAAGTGTTTGAGAACCGGTGCTTTGGAGCAATACTTTTCCAAGTGTCGGTTGCAGTCCATTCATGATTTATGAAACTAATTTAGTGGGCTATGGTAAGTTTTTTAAAAAGCGAGGTAGAAATAAAATCTAAAAGAAGAAAGACTACATTGCATGTAAGGTCAAATACTGTTTTATGAAACTGTTATTTCAGCTTTTTTTTCTTTAAATTTTTTATTGGAATGTTAATCACCATACATTACATCATTAGTTTTTGATGCAGTGTTCCATGATTCATTGTTTGTGCATAACACCCAGTGCTCCACGCAGAACGTGCCCTCTTTATTACCCATCACCAGGCTAACCCATCCCCCCACCCCCTCCCCTCTAGAACCCTCAGTTTGTTTTTCAGAGTCCATCATCTCTCATGGTTCATCTCCCCCTCCGATTTCTCCCCCTTCATTCTTCCCCTCCTGCTGTCTTCCTTTTTTTTTTTTTCCTTAACATATATTGCAATATTTGTTTCAGAGGTACAGATCTGTGATTCAACAGTCTTGCACAATTCACAGCACTCAGCATAGCACATACCCTCCCCAATGTCTATCACCCAGCCACCCCATCCCTCCCACCCCACCCCCACTCCAGCAACCCTCAGGTTGTTTCCTGAGATTAAGAATTCCTCATATCAGTGAGGTCCTATGATACATGTCTTTCTCTGATTGACTTATTTCACTCAGCATAACACCCTCCAGTTCCATCCACGTCATTGCAAATGGCAAGATCTCATTCCTTTTGATGGCTGTATAATATTCCATTGTGTATA